GATGAAATATGGTTTAAGAGTTTTTAAGAGTTTTAAGAGTTTTTAAGAGTTTTTAAGAGTTTTAGCCAAATGCTTTATAATATAGTATAGATATATATACTATATATTTTGGGGTTAGGCTGTCCAAATTGCACTGTATAATATGTTTTGATTTAATATGTTCTTGGGTTTTTTTTGAAATATATATATACATGTATTAATTCAACCTTAATCTGAGTTTCTGAACAAGAAAGAGGGTAAACAGTTAAAATTTCATTCTAAAACCCATCTTTTTTTGTCTTTTCATGATTTAAGATCTGTCAAATTTGTAGTTTTTTTTATTGGTTTTGAGTGTTTATCTTAAAACTCAAGTTTCTTGGTTCTTTGCTCTTGGTGTAAATCAAACACATTTGTGGAGTCGTTTAAATATATTGGATTTTAAACTGTCATACAATTTTTTCATCGATAGTCTGTAATTGGAACCATAACTCTTATTTATTCAAATTGAATTAATATGTAAAGACCAAGTGTAACATATATCATCGTTAAATCTTATCTTATAAAACCAGTGGAACTTCAAAATCGTTAAAATTCATGGCTCCCGCCGCATTGCACGGGTAAACAACTAGTGTTCCATAATGTTCATCTTCTTCATCATTACAAACTTAAAGCAATCCCCCAAATTAAACCATAGATCAAAACCCAAATAAACCATAAATAAAGACACACGACGGTGGACCTCACTATGAAGATCTTGTACGTCCGAGGAGCAAATCAAGAGAACTTTCGTATGACGTGTAGATGTAGCAGTAGTATTGAGAGATCATACGAGTCAAGAGCGGAGATATGTTGGTTATATTGTTATATAGTTTTGGTTTGTTGTATTATGATCAGGTCTTGTACAAATAAATACAAGAATTATGTAATTATAAAAAAATATTTTTAGATTAATAAACATTAACTAGAGATGAACGACGGAAACCAATTAATATTATATTGCCGGCATTACCATCACAGATGATTTTAGCAAACCAATTCAACAAAAGAGTCCGTTAAATTATACACTTGAAAACCGATCGAGATAAACAACAATAGTTTGGATGTAACGAAAACAAAGAAAATAAACATGGTGGTTTTGGTAACCTAAATACAAATAAATGTTGGAAAACAATGAAATAAAAATGAGTCCTAATCACTTGGAACAACCACCGTGGCTTCATCTCTAACACTTCCATTGGCACTGGCTCCATCTCTACCCTTATACCGTCGAGCAACCCACAAATAAACCACCAAATTAACCACATTAATCGCCATTAATATCCAATACAAATAATCCAGCTTACTAGCATTCAAATCGTTCCTCAACCACCCTTTCTCCTCCTTCCCGGTGGCCTTTTCGATGATCTTCACAATTGCAGTACTCAGCCAGCTTCCGATCCCGATTTCACTTAGAAACATCGCACTGCTTATACTCCTCGTACCATCTGTAGCTTCGTCGTAGAAGAACTCCAATTGTCCGACGTACGTGAAAACCTCGGCACTGCCCATGAGAAAAAACTGAGGAAACAACCAGAAAACGCTTAGGGATTTAGGGTTTGGATGAGTTCTGCGTTTCTGTTCCACCACTGCAGCTGATGCCATGGCGAAAATGGAGATGAAAAGGCCGACACCCATTCGCTGTAAGGAAGTAAGGCCACGGTGGTGGCCGGTTTTGCTACGGAGGAAAGGGACGATGACTTTTTCGTAAATGGGGACGAGGAGGAGGGCGTTAATGGCGGAGAAGACCGGCACTGAGCCTGATGGGATGACGAAGTTTGAGCCAAGTTTCCGATCCATGATGGCGGCTTGACTCAGGAAGAAGGTGGAGAGCTGGGCGAAGGAGATGGAGAGGGCGATGGTGGTTACCCACACCGGCAAGACTCTTATGAAGCATTTGAATTCTTCGACTTGTGTCACTGTGCATAGTTTCCATCTGTTTGGTGTGATCGACGATTGGTGGTCGTCGACGGAAACCGCCGCATTGTCTAAAAACCTGTATTGTGGAGTGTGAGGGAGTTTTCTTGCACCGAAGATATCAGATTCTTGAGTGGACACTTCGTAAAGTTGGTCACCGGAAACAGCACTAACTCCCCGGAGATGATTTTTCACGGCAACCACCATCACTTGCACAAACCTCGTGAAAGCACTCCCCATCGGTTTTTTGTACCGGTAACTCGAGAATCCGGCCAACAGAATGAAGATGGAACTGAACATGGTTATGGTGGGGATACCGAAACCCCAAGCGAACCCTTTTTCTTGTTGTACGTACACCAAAAGGGTGATTCCGAGTAGTGCACCCATGTTAATGGCGAAGAAGAACCAGTTAAAGAAAGCATATTTTTTCAACACTTCTCGATCATCTTCTTCGTCAAATTGATCAGCTCCGAAGGAAGAAACACACGGCTTGATCCCACCGGTGCCGATGGCAATAAGTCCTAGTGCGGTGTAGAGAAACGCAGTTTGACCGTCGGTCGCCGGCGGGCATGGCAGTTTGAGGCAAACAGGTGGCCGTAAACTGTCCAATCTTGCTGAAATCGTTAGCATCACCATTCCCTGACCATGATTAACTTCAATAAGTCGATGCTCTACTTTCAAATCATCATATCACGTATTTAAATCAACAATTTTCATACCCCAAAGTAGACAAAAGAGAAGACGATGATAGTCAAGAATCGTCCCAAGTAAGCATCAGCAATGAAAGCCCCGACGAGTGTAAGCACATACGCAGCTCCGATCCAATCCGTAACATGCGTGGCTGCGTTTGGTAGCGATTGATGCATCTCTTTCACTAAATACAACACCATGCTCACCGCCACCGCGAAAAACGCCAGCCGCTCCGCCACCTCATTCACTACAAACCAGAAATTAATTCAAGAACAGTTAAAAAGGAAAACCATCGAAACAAGTGTCCGCCGGAAAGCCGGAGGTAAACACCGGCAGAAAACCCATTGAAATTCTAAATAATCATCTGTATACCGATAATAAAGGGAGAAGCTCGCCAGCCTCCGGTGTTTCGCTTGTCAGCAATCCTCCCTCTGTAATTAACGCAGCCATTGCTCACCAAACTCATACTTGATACTTGGATTTGTTCTTCCTACAAATTATCAATAAGATATATATATATATATTGTTACAATTTATAATGATCAAAAAAAGAGAACTAGCATGCTACATATATAACACAAGCATCCGGAATACAGAATGGATGCCAAAGTACCTTATACGATTGTTGTTTTCTTATAGGATCCATAACGATCGAAGGCTCGATATGTGATTTCTCAGACCTCTCACTGATCGTATCCATGACGATTAAAATCTTCGTTTTTGAACTTCCGAGATCTCCGATATCGATTTTATTTTTCAATATCTTGCATAAGACTTCATTAATTATAACTTGTTATATAGACATAGTTTATATCGTAAGGTTTTGGGGGGTGTTTGAATTTTGAGTTGTATAGTAGGAGGACGGCCGGGTTTTACGGGTATCCATGACCCGACCCTTTTAGAATGTATTCCGGCAAGATTCTTGTGCCACTTCAATCCATAAGCATTTTAATAAAGCGACACTTTTATTAAAATAGTGGTTATATTATTCGATTTTATAGAATTTGATTTTTGACATTAAGATATTTGATGCTTTGTGTAATACCCTTTTTCTCTAAAGATTGAAACAAAAGCTTCTATTCTATTAGTTTGTATTTAAAAAAAACTAGAAGGGTAATCGTACAATGCAGCGAGATACATCTTGAATTTAATGTTTTGCGTTTCTTTTTTGTCTCAGTCGATGTTTTTTTTAACCTGGATATCCAACCCGCTATGCGAGCCGACTAATCTCAGGGCGATCACCTGCTTTGCAGATAGCGCGAAGTCACCGTATTTGAACCTCAATCGATGTTATAATACGATTTTATATGATTTTGAGAAAACGATAATGTTTTTATTTTTAAATAAAATATAAATATTAAGACATCATAAAAAAATGATTTTTTTTATATTAGTACCAAATTAACTATTTAAATTTTTTATGTATTTCTTTAATTTATTTTTTTATTTTTTGTTTAATATACTTTTCTATAAAGATAATAATTAAGTATTTTGTTACAATTCAATGATTATTCTAATTATATTTTAAATTTTTTATATTTAAAATGATATGTTTATCCTCTCGATTATATTTATCTGCAGTTAGTTACACGAATTCAAACATGAATTTTTAATAAATTGTACTTACGCACAATTTACTTGTAATCTTGAATTTTAAATAATATACATAAATAAACAATACTTCATGCATAAAAAAATGATTTTTAAGAGTTTTTATCAAATATTTTATAATATAGTAAAGATAATTGTATTAGTTTTTTAAGAGTTGTAGCAGATCTTTTTTAAAGCATCTCCAATAGATTTTTTAAAATAAAAAAAGTAAAAAGTCAATAATCTTTAAAAAAAAATTACATTCATTTTCAACAGATTTTTTATTTTATAGACTACACTATGAATTATATTATTAAAATATCTAATACAATTCATAAACTATTATTAATAATCTTGAAAAATTCTCTTGTAATAGAAATAATAGTCCGAGATGATACAGGTAAAGTCAGGGTCCTAAACTAGTATTATTTTGGATAGAATTTTACATTTAGAATAATGTTTTTACTTTTGAATAAAAATAAATTTGAAGAGATCATAAAAATTTGAAAAAATATATCGATATTAATATAAAATTAACTATTTAAAAAGTTTTTTTTTTACAATTTCTTTAATTCAATTTTTTTATTATAATTTACAAAAAAAAAACATTATAAAGATAATGATTTTATTAGAATTCAATAATTATCCCAAATATATTTTAAATTTTTAATATTTAAAATGAGATGTTTATCTTATATTTGATTATGTTTATTTGCAATTAGTTATACGAATTTAAAAATGAAACTTTAATAAGTTGTACTTACGCATAATCTACTTATAATCTTGAGTTTTAAGTAACATGTATTAATGAACAATACTTTATGTATAAAAAATGATTTTTAAGAATTTTTATTAAATACTTTTTATGAATACATTTTTAAAATAAAAACCGTAATGAAGGAAATGGGTGATGCAACCTATGTTAAAGAGTCAACGTGCCGTTCCAAAACGGAATCTTATCGACACTCGTCCAGGCTCCGGCATATGGAAACCCTAAATCACTTCTTGCTTTTTTTATTTAAAATATACCAAATTAATTTGGTCATCCGAAAATAAAATATACATATTCTAACCATATTTCAAAAACAGTAACCCAATTTTTTAAAATTAAATATAAAGTTTTTTTTTTTCCAGTGTTTCTAGAAGGTTTGTCAATGACAGTCGTTGTAATGTATTGTGGTTCAAACCTTAGGTCAAGGCCTAATGTATGGATTCTGTAATGTGATATTTGAGTTTTTTTTTTTTTTACATTTTTAATGTCTTACTAAATGTTTTAGTATGTAACATAATGTAAAGTGTTTAATATTATTGATTTTGATGATAATAAAAACATGTGTGTGTATATGTATATAGACTTGGATCATCTGAGATTAGTCTGTTTTTGTGAAACCCATGAAACCATTTTTTACGCTTAAAACTTTACAGCAAAACGTTGTGAAAGTAACTTTCACAGTGTTTTTGCTGTGAATGTTTGGTTTTTTTTAACATTCACAGCGTTTTACTGTGAAGTTTCAAGTGTAAAAAAGTGGTCTCACGGATCTCATGAAAACATAATGGTCTCACATGAACCCTCTCTCTCTCTCTCTCTCTCTCTATATATATATATATATATATATATATATATGACGTATAGGACGATAATCAAATAAGAATCACAAAAAGGTTAAGAACCATGAGAACTGATCTAAGCCCTAAATTACTTATGATCATCTGGTTTTTAATTTAAAGATGTTTAATTTAGAAAAAAAGCATAATCATCATTTTGATAATAGAGATTCACCATATGAAACACGCAGAGTCATCAGCAACACCGCTTAGATGCCACAACTGCTTTGCCGCCTCTCATGATCAATCAAAATTTTCAACAAGAAGACAAACAAACGAACAACAGGGTTTTAAGAGGAATGAAAGTTACCAATAAACACATGATTAAAAACCTAAAATATCCATTTTCTTCTATGTTCTTGTTGTCCTCTTCTCCATAACACAAAGATGAACTTCACGTGCATGACAGTGGTGGGTAGGTGTAGTAAGCGCCTTGAGAGGTCGGGGAAGGTGGATTGTAGTAGCCGCGGTCACCGCTTCCACCAGAGGTTGGGGTAGAAGGCCGAGGATGGCAAATTGGTGTTGTCGGTGAGGAGGGTTTGGGTATTGATGGTGGTGGTAGGGATGGCGACAGTGGTGGAGATGGTCTGGATTGGATATGTTCTTGATGTTAGATTGTTCTGGACCAAATTGATTTAGTTAGATTGTAATAATATAATTCCCAAAATACCTTTTCATTTTACTTCTAATTTGTCAAAAATACTCTCATTTTACCATTTTATTTCAAACAAGCTTCTTTTTTTAATGGCATTTGATTTAATCTAAGTGATAACTCTTATTTTCAAGAGTTATTTCTTATTTATTTTCTCTCGTTTTGTTATTATTAAATACCCAATTTTCTTATTTTTTTCCTTTTATTCTAAAAAAGTTTTAAAAAGATGATGAAACACAAAGGAAGAAATTTTATTCCAAAAACCTGTATTTTATGGCAAAACTGTCCACTGTGGCACCACTGTGGGATGTCCATGAATTTTGTTGGTTTTTGCTTATTGGGAAACGTGCAGCTTTAAGGATCATCCAGATATTTCCTCCAGCTATTTATAAGCTGTTTTGATGTAACCTTTTTATTTTATGATGCTTTGTACTATTACCCTTGGGGTAATCATTTTGGTTGTCATTTTCTCCTTTTTCTCCTATATAAAGGAAGCTTTGGGGCCTCTTTTGAAGACATCTCATATCATTATCATATAATACCCTCTAGAGTATCTTGCTTCTCTCTTCTTTCTTTTATTATTAAGCTTTTAATTAATGTCTTTTATTTTTAGTTGTAATTTAATATTTTATTTTTTTGTACTTGTAATTTAGTTTTATATTAATGCAATTTATATTTCAGTATTATTTAAATGTCTTATATTACTTTTATTATGTCTAGTTAAATTACTTTTATGGGTATGGGTGTGAGTTTAACTTGGGACTTTTTATACAATATTTGGGTGTTTTTATCTTTTATCATTTCGTAACTTGGTCACTTAAGACGAGACTTAAACTCGACGCGGATAAGCTGATCACTTTGAAGTGTTAATATTAGACCTTAGACCCAGAGATAGGCAAATCTGAAATATGGCTTAAGTGATGCACAAAGAACTCGAGAGAGGCTTTGATAATTACGTGGAGACGCGAATTTTGTATGTATTTAGCTAAGGATTAAGCGATGAGTATTCTTATCACAAAGAGATTTGGGTATGAATCGTATTTCTTTTACTTTTTGGCTAGATCGGCAAGTCTCGAAGTGGTAAATGTAAAAACCTTATGGAATTTTACGAGACCCGGTTGTAAAAGTTCACTTTTGAGAGATTGAATTTTTTTTTGATTAACCTGGATATCCAACCCGCTATGCGAGCCGACTAATCCCAGGGCGACCACCTACTTTGCAGATAGCCCGGAGTCACCGCATTTGAACCTCCGTGGCCACAAGAAGATTTTTATTTCTCCTTGGATTGGAACCTGAGACCTCTAGGTACTTTTGACCTTTGGAACCAAACTCAAACCAATTAGGCACCACCCTTGTGGTTAAGATTGGAATTTTTTATAAACAACTCATAAGATTCTAACCATTTTATTGTTAATTTTATCTTAAGGAACACTTGTATCCATGCCCATTATTTAATATAAAAAGTTTATTTCGTTGTTTCGCTAGTTCAGTCATTTTTCGGTCTTTTTATAAACAAAACTCTAACTTTTATTCACTACCCGAAACTCAAGCAAGAAATTCATGAAAAATCTCTGAATCTCAGTAGTCAATTCCCTGTGGAACGATCTCGGTACTTTTTACCACTTTATTACTTGCAAGCGATCATAGTGTTGGCATGCACTTGCACCACCACTGTGTGGACTTTGTGCCCACTGGGTGAACACGAACGATCATAGCTTGTCACTAAGCTATGGATTAGATTAATCCTCAATTAAGGTTCTTAACTTTTTTTGGTCCTCATAAGATTTAATCCTATATATGATATACATGTTTACTACCATAAGTGACACTGGTTGTGGTCCCACTATGACTCT